TTATGATCCTGAGACAAAGAAACAGTCTAAGGAATGGAGGCACAGTGGTTCTCCCAGGCCAAAGAAGTTCCAAGTGCAAAGGTCGGTGCAAAAGCAAATGGCAACAGTTTTCTGGGATAAGAAGGGAGTTCTGCTGGTGGACTAGCTCCAACAGGGTTCAGCCATCAATGCAAAATATTACTGTGCTTTATTGACAAAATTGAGGCAAAACAAGGAAAAACGTTGGGGAAAGCTCTCCTAAGGTGTCTGTTGCATGACAACACCTCGTCACACACTGCAGGCAAAACAATGGCAAAACTGATGTCCTTAGGCTTTCAAGTGATGCCCCATCCACCCTATTCTCTCAACCCGGCTCCTGACTATTATCTGTTCCCCAAACTCAAGAAACACCTAAAGGGACAACGATTTGGGAGTATTCTGGAGGCAACTAATGCTGCAAATGGGTGTTTACAACAGCAGTCGGATTAATTTTATTTGCAGGGACTTAAGAAGCTGCAGGACAGATGTTGCAAGTGCATTGACTTCCTGGGGCAATATGTAGAATAGCGTGGCAGTTGCAGCTTCCTAGCTCATTTTGTCTCTGGGAAAGGCTCAATACTTATCATCACCCCCTCATACACTGAGCACAAGAAAGAGGTGGTGGAAGCCTGGGTGGATTTGATTTAGATCAAATCGATTTTTTTTAAAAAATCGGATAATTTTGGCGATTTAAATGAAAAAATATTTTTTAAAAAATTTAAAAATTAAACCACGATTTAAATCGATTTTTTTTAAAATGAATTTTTATCCACCCGGCCGGACAGGATCCGTTTACTTTATTTCCCGGCCAGCTTGTCACACCTGGTACGAATGTGAAAGGGGAGAGGCCAACGGTAACCCAGGTAACGGTGCTTCAAGACTTGGACATGAATATAACTTCCACTCTATCACATAACGCTCTCTGACTGCCTTTGCAGTTACTTCCGGTTCCTTGTGAGCGTTTCCTTTTCAAGGTTTGAGCATAGAGATGCCAGGGATAGAGCGGCTCCGCTGTTTCGACTAGCGCTAGAGGATCTATGCAGTTGTTGTTTCTTTGTTTTCACCCCAGGCGCCACAAGCGCAGCTCTATCGCTTTCAGGATCTAGTCTTTTGGCTTCCGTGGCATCATCCCTGCCGGAAGTGGATTTTCTGCATAACGGTGTCCATGGAGACGGAAGATGGCACCTCGCAGTAAGTGGACGCTGGCGGCGCTCCGGGGAGGTGCCGCTCCTGTAGGGTCGTGCGACCGATCTGGCCGGAGACTGCCGTCGGTTCGCGTCTTCGCCCACGGCTCCCCTCTCCTGGGGCACGTCGAGCCCTTAGGGCGGGCGGTGGCTGCGTGGATCCGTCCCCCCTCCCGGCCCAAGCGCTGCCAGGCGAGAGCCTTCCCCGGAGGAAGCCTCGCTCAGAGTTTGGCGAGTGTGTGTGTGTGTGTGTGGGGGGGTCCTCCTGTTCAGTCCCGGGGGTGACACCTCACGCTGAATTGCAGCGGCGGGGTGGGGTGCGGAGGAAGCCTCGCTCAGAGCTTGGCGAGTGTGTGTGTGTGTGGGGGGGTTCCTCCTGTTCAGTCCCGGGGGAGACACCTCACGCTGAATTGCAGCGCCGGGGTGGGGTGCGGGGTTGGACCGATCGGTGTCTCTATAGGCAGGATTCTGGTATCACCGCGGGCGTGTCAGAGATTGGATTTTTGCAGCCTTTCAGTGGGTTTGCAGAGAGGGGAAGGTGGCTTTAAATTCTTTTGCTCACTGTGGCCTTGATGCTGGGGCGTTGTAACTGTTAGTATGAAATCCAAAGTACAGTATGTAATTTCTGCATGCGATGTTAGGCAAGGACAAAGAAACAAAGCTGTGTTATGCTATCCTTGTGCCAGTAGGGGAGGCAAGCAGGAGAAGGATTGCCTTCTATCTTCAAGTCCTGGTGCACAAGAATTGCAAGTACCGTAGTAAGGAGTCTGTTTGGAAGAATAGGTGAGCAAGAGAGACTTGTGTTCTATACCCTTGTCTAGGTGTATTTAAAACTTGGCTAGCAATCATCACAGAAGAATTTTTTTTTTACCCTAGGAATTCTTAGATCTCGGAGTCTTAGCTTCTACTTGATCAGACTTAACCTAACTAACATTTAGGAGGTTTATTCACGAAGGATTTCACAGCCGGGATCTAATGGTTGTTGTGGGTTTTTCGGGCTCTTTGGCTGTGTTCTGAAGGTTGTTCTTCCTAACGTTTCGCCAGTCTCTGTGGCCGGCATTTTCAGGGTCGGTAAAATGAGTACCCAGCTTGCTGGGGGGGCAATGTGTAGCCTTTATAATTAAAATTGTAAACCGCCCGGAGAGTGCTTGTAGCGCTATGGGGCGGTATATAAGTCCAATAAATAAATAAATATTTCAGAAGTGAACGGAGACCAGTTTCTAGCCCCCAGGTTCTGAGTGTATGAAAATGTGACTTCTTGCTAATGTACCACCTCAGGGGAGACTGTGCTGCTTCTCTTTGACAGTAGAAATAGGTAGAACAAAGACCTCACACATTATATATACTGTGTATATATACACACATTCATGTTGTGGTTGCAATCCCCTAGATCGCCAGCTCTCCTCTACTCCTCTGGAGATCCTGCTTTTTCTCAATGGGTGGTATTATGCCACATATTTCTTGCTTGAGATCTTCATATTTGTCTATAAAGGTGAGTCTTTGCTACACCTCTGGGGGTAGGGTGGAAGAAACGTTTATGAGAGCATGTCTGGGTTCCTTTTTTTCTGGAAAAAAATCTTATTTTTCTAGGATTCCACGTTGTGACTGTCCCCTGAAGAAAGTGAAAATTAGAACAGAGTGAATGGTATATTTTGTGATTTATTTTCTGGCTTCACTGCTGATTACTTGAGAGTTCAAGGCCATTGAAGAACTATGCTAATTGTTAAGTCTATATGCTGTATTAGATGTTATTCAACATTACATTTTTTTTGAGAAACACAGTAGGTGAAAGGAAACATTAAACTTTCCTTTTCTTTAATAAACATGATCATTTCTACATCTCCCCAGGACTCCTGTTGCCCTATCCCTCTGCTAATCTGGCTTTGGACCTGGTCATGCTTTTTCTTTATCTCGGTATTGAAGTTACAAGGATATTTTTTGGTGAGTACAAATGAATGAATCTTGCTGTCAGTAGCCTATTCATCTGTCTCCAAATAGGAGTATCTTTGCTGGCTCTTAGGCAGAAAAACAGACTCCAGTCTTCTCTGTAGTACACAAAAAATGAACATATAAGTTTCACAACATGTTTGTATAACTCTGTATAGTGCTGTTAAGGAGACAGTAAATGTGATTGCTGTTAATGGCATCATTTCCAGGCCTTCCTTACAGTCCTGCTGAATTGGAATAGATACCTTCAGAGGATGTAGAAAATAATTTTGCCCTTTCTCTCCCTGAAAGTCTATGTTTGCATTTTGATTTGCAGATAAGGCTACATCAGGTGAGATGGAACAGAAATATAGATAAATCTAGATCAGAGATGGCAAACCTATGGCACATTTGGCATGCAGAGCCCTTCCTGCGGGCACGCAAGCCATAAGTCACCAGATTGCTACTCTTCCCCCCACCCCCAGCCAAATCTCAGGAGGTGGCTGCAGCCGAGATGCTGGTGTTTCGACAGGCAATGGGCCAGGATCTGGAGCAGCTGGCACTGCTGGCAGTTCCGGAGTGGGGTCGAGGCACCTCTGTGCCCGGGATTCTGCCTTCCTCCACTACTTCTGGTTCTGCCGCCATCACTTCCAGTTCTGCCACCGCCTCGACCTGCTGCCTGCTATTCCCCCACCACCACCACCCCAGTTTGGGCACTCGGGCCCAAAAAGGTTCCTCACTACTGATCTAGATATTCTTCCTGACCTGGAACTAGGGTACTACACTATGTGAATATGTAGAGTGCTACATTCTGCTCCTTGGTCTTAACTTGAGTTACCCCTGACAATTAGAATACTCCATACAGGGATGGCCATTTGTGAGTTAAATGGCACAAGCAGCATGCTTTAGGAAAGGGCTATCAGTCAGTGGTTAGTTATTATGTTCTTGTTACAGTTTTACTTCCTGGGATAGAAATACATGCTTTGGGGATTTTCTGCCTCCTGTGCCAAAATACCTTCAAGTTTTATATAAATTGATAGGAGTGGGTGGAACTATTTGTTCCTTTGCCCCAGGCAGCAAAGGTATTGAGTTGCCCTGACTTCATATCCTAGGTGTTTGGGTTTTTATGCTGAATGGGGCTTATTATCTTTCACTTACCATGCTGTGTCTATGGTAGGCTCTAAAGGAAACCTCTGTCAACGGAAGGTGCCACTTGCCATCAGCCTGGCACTAACCTTTCCAGCAGCAGTGATGGCAGCCTACTATCTGCTACTGCAAACGTATGCGCTGCGCCTGGAAGCCATCCTCAATGCTATCCTGCTTCTGTTCTATGCAGTTGAGCTCTTGCTGGGTATTCTTACCCTGGCCTCCTTCTCCAGGTACTTTTGTTCTGTACCCTGTTGACATTTTAGGAACACTCTTATTAGCCTGTGTTTTTTTTTAAATAAAGACAATAGGTAGCAGTTGTTTCTCGTGGCTCTGAGAAGCGAGAGGAACCTTAGTACTTCCCATACTCAGGGGCTGAGAAGTGGTGTGCCTCCCTGGAAGGGAAAATGAGATCATAATTTTGGAGGGACAATGCCACAATGTCTGGAGAACAGCTGAAAAGAATGAGTTGCCCATTTCACTGGGCTGAGACAGTAAGAACAGATAGGCATGTAGAACATTGTCTTATATTTAGGCATATTCCTGATCCATTTGGCTTAGTATTAAATACAATGATCAGCAAAACCTCTCTATAGAGTTTCAGGCAATTTATTTTTTTGAGTCCTACCTGTAAATGCCAGGAATTGAAACTGAGAACCTTTGCATGCAAAGCAGGTACTCAGCTATAGATCTGTTACTCTCCCTCCTTCAAGATACTGATATCAGTGAGAAAATCTGTAGTAAGGACTGGCACTGGCCACCTGTGAGGGTTCACGGTCTGGCTCTGGTTGTTTCTGCAATAAATCAACTGACTTCCTCAGTTTAGAAATTAGTTTCACTCCTTCTTAGCATATTTAAAGTGAGCCACTTAAAATTCATACAGGAATATAGACATTGATCTGCATGCATTTATACATTCAGTTCTAGTAGTATAATTAAGACATTTTTAAAAGGGGAGGGGGTATTTGAGAACACAAAAGGTGCATAATATGATACACAAATTCCTCACTTTGCACCACAGCTTTAAAAAATGTGGAGTAGCTACATGGTGACCTCGGTCAGTTGCTGGAGTGTATGGGTGAGACTTGGGATCATTATGGGATAGAACTGTCAGTCTGTTCCCTTGGCACTAGCAGAGTGTCTTCCCTAGAAAGTACTGATACTTTGATTTTCTTTTCCTCACATATAATCACATGGTGTCTTGCTTGTTTTAACACTTTTAACCTCACAAATGCCAGGTTTGATATGATCTGTAGGGGTTGCTATTCCACCCTATGCATGCCACAAGTTTCATTACTCCACAATTGCATCGGGAAGGCACAAATAGCGCTGATTCTACGTTTATACATTTGTCTGACAACACTGCACATCTCTAGTCTATATAACGTATCAGATTTAATGATGTCTAGACACTCGGGAATATTATTTCTGGCTTTTTTGAAAGCATCTGTTGCAGTACTCTTGATTTTTTTCTTCAAAATGGTAGCTGACTGTATATCTGTCTGTCATCCAGATCATGTATTTGTTGTGTCTGTTGGCTTGTTTATTCAGGCACTGATAACAGAGCTTCCAACTATTCCTACCTTATATTTTCTGCAGTCTGGACTCATACTGAGAATCAAGTTGGGCTGTACTGTGTGCACCTAGAAGAAAAGAGGCTGCCTGAGCCCTCCATTTCTGTGACTAGTGTGTTCAATCTAGTTCCTTGGACAAGCTGAAGGAAGATGCAGCCACCCAATTTGCTTCAAGCATACATAAGGAGAAGGCCATCATCGTTTTCCAATAAGAGGACAGGCCGAGACACCCAATACATCCCTACCACCACCCTTGCATTCCTTCTGAGAGATGACAGTATTTCCATTCAGACTTTACACTCTGGACCACTGACTTTTGTAAGTTGAAAAGACTGGACTATGAAGTTTCACATCATCCATAGGTTATGGCTGCAGATGAGGTGTCCTTCACAATTCTCAATGTGGCACATTCTAACAGGGGCTCCAAAAACCTACCATGTGTGCACTGACTCTCATGAGAGCCCCTTTGCTCTGCCCTTCCTAACTGGTCCATCCTATCCCTGAAAGGGGTGGGGTTGAGAATGAGGGCAGTGGGTCTTGGGTCCCTTCCCTAACTCAGTATTGTTATTTTGTGTGTGTATTGGCAATTTGTGATACTTGGTTTTCTACTGTACTTGTGGAATAAATATTTATTTTTCAAGTTCTGTGGAACTTCTAACTTACATAAGCACCTTGAATAGGAAGACTGTAGATGTGCTAAGAGAATGGAAACTTTGCTGATCTTTGAATGCCTAAAGGGTGTCAGGAAAATGCAAAGTTTTTATTTAACCAAATTTTCATGAAGGAGCCTGTGTGAAATCACCTCTAGCAATCTGGTTCATTTCACCACTGATTAGGGAAAGACTGCCTCCAGACAGTTCAAGTATATCCGGTCCATGGAGGTACAGGGGAAAGTGAACTGTAGTGCCCTCTACAGAAAGAGTGTACTTTTAAGAGATTAGAGAGGAGCTAACTCACCGACCTGAAGAACAAGAAAAGGCATTACAGTGAGCTCATGCAGCAGAAGTTTATTTGCTGGATGTGGCAAGATTAGCAGCCATCAGTAATGGAACAGTGTTGCACTAGATGGGTCTGAAGCTGCAGCCAACAACCGGCCTCCTTGTTCAGCCACCAGAAATTTATTGTTGGATGCCCTGATGATAAGACAGCTGGAGGATGCAAACTGGATGGTGAAATTAGTGGGATGGTCGCTGGTTATTGAGATTTGCCCATCTTTTTCCAGGGCCCAGTATTTGCTACCTGAAAGTGGAAGGAAACAGATTGATGTAAGAGGGAAAGCCATGCTCTGACATGTCCTTGACTTTTCAGTTATTCAGTTAATTAAAGGAATCACAAATAATTAGGATATGGTAGTCAGGACACTTGTTCCTATGCAGTATGACTTAAGGCAGACTTCTTCAGCCCAATGCCCTCGGGGTGGTGGTAGCATATATTTCAACTCTTACCAGTAACTAGCCAGCATAATAAATGATCAAAAAGTCTACCTATAGTCAAAAATATTTGGAAAGTAGCCAGTTGGGGAAGGCTAATTCACAGAGAGACCAATGAAGATGTGTAAAAGAGACAGTATGCAACCAATACCTAAACATTGTCACAGACTCAGCCTAGGAGGCTAAGGTCCATGTGCTAGGGTGCAAATAAATGGGAACAGTTTAGTTGCTATGGAAATAGTGGTGATCCATCTGTCTTGCCTTTTTTTAAAATTTGGGATGGGGAGGAGGGGTTGTGAGTTTGGCTTTTGACTCCATAAACTAGAGCAGCGGTCCCCAACTTTTTGGGGGCTGGGGATCAGGGGTTGACGACCCTTGAACTAGAGCATTCATTTCTACTTGTCCTCCAGTTGTCTTGACTCTATAAACTAGAGCAGTGGTCCCCAACTTTTTTGGGGCTGTGGACCAGGGGTTGACGACCCCTGAACTACAGCATTCATTTCTACTTGTCCTCCAGTTGTGGCTATAATTGAGGTGAGTATATCAGTAGCCTGATTTAGGCATGTTTAAGTGTGTTGTTCATAAGGAGGGAAGCAAACTAGATCTCTCCTGCTGCCTTCTGTGTGAATAAAGTGCTGTGTGAAAAGGAGAATCCCTTGGACATGTGGAAATTGTGTACAAGTCAGAACTCGGGAAATCTGGGGTTCCACTTCACCTCAGTGGTGGCTCATCCATTAGAGGAAGTGGGCCATTGCTTCAGCTCAGGCTACCCCAAGCAGCCCACTCAAATTTGTATTCTTACTAGAAATGGCAGTTTGGGGCCTTCTTTGTGTTCCTGTCCTACTGTGGGTATGTGTGAATGAGGGACTGTCTTGGGGGCAGGTATGCAGATATATTTGAATACCCAATTTTGCCCCTGGGTCTGTCTGCATCCTTATTTCCATCTACCACTGGCTGGCCCTCTAACCACACTGAGGACACCAAGTGGCACCCACTCATTGATATCTGAGTGAGGAAAGTGACAATGGAGGGGGTGAGGCCAAGACATGCCCTTCCTCACACGTTTCAACAGCACAGGAATATCTCAATAGGGCTAATATCTTCCTCATGCAGCAGGTACTCTGGCAATCCCCTCTAACTGCAAATGCATCTGTTCAGTCTAGAATATACTGACCAATTTGGAAGTTATAGTAGCCTTCCTCAGTGAGTGAGAGGCTGCTGGCTGCATAGCTGACAGAGTTCCCTTCCAATCGCCTCACATCAGAACAGACACCCACATAGCCAGCATCACTGTGCAGGACCAGCAGCGGCCGGTTCACCAGCACCAAGAGGAAATCTTCACTTTTACCTGGAGAGGCAAGAGAAACCTTTAACCGGTGTTTGCCCAAGTAGACAACCATTATGCAGGGGGCAGAGCAGATGAGGGCCTGCTTTCAAGGAAAATTCAGCAGTGAAACCATCCTTTTTGTTCTCAGGAGAAACACATTCAGCCAAGAAAATTTAGCTTACATATTGGAAATCAGGAGCATGAAAAAATACATTGTTTATAGGCTCACAAGATTAAGAGGAAAACGGGATAGGCTACAACCCGCAATGTACCATAGAATGAGCACCCTATCAGGACAGCCACGCTAGCGTTGCTGCCCATTTGCTTCTGGTTGCAGCCAGGGCTCCCACCCAGCACTCTGGAAAATGAGAGGAAACGTGTGTGTCTCTAATTTAGCAGTGAGGAAAGTATGCATCCCCAGAGGGTGCTGCAAATCCTATTGGTGCCAGCCATGTGGAGGGATGCTGAGAGTGGCCATCCTGCAGCATCTGGAGAGCCAAACATTTTCCCTTCTTGCTGTACCGCTTTCTCACACCATACAGATGGGTGACCCTTCGTTTCCTCTTTGCATAATTGAGACCTGCAAATGTACTGCTTTCTCACACCATACAGATGGGTGACCATTTCCTCTTTGCATAATTGAGACCTGCAAACAAAACACCCAACTATCTGTAGTTAATTAGCAGCTGGTGGTTCGTTTTTGTCTTCCACCCTAGTCTTGTTTGCTTGCCTACGCTGCTGCTCTCCTCCTGTAAAAAAAAAGCCTCTTGTACAACCTTGTACCTGCTGCTTTGGGAATTGCGAGGAGCTGCCCATTGGGCCGCATGGACACATATTTGTCTCTTATGCGAAGAGTCACTTTCTGGTCCTGATACTGGAGGTCAAACCAAACATTGCTGTCCTGTTTCGTGCTGCTGACAATACAGTCATTGGGACCCTGCAAAAGCAAGAACATACTCAGTACAGTACTTGCATCTAGGAGTCTTGAGGCATCTCAAAAGACTGACAAATTTGACATGAGTCTTTATGGACTGCAGCCTACTCAGATTCATGGAGGGGGGTTTTTATTTATTTAATTTAATGTAATTTTATTTTATTTTATTTTTGTAGAAACCTGCAGGCTTCACTCACTTCTATCATCAGCCGAATTCTAATATCTATCTTGTTCTTTCATTGCTGAGTCCTGCATCAGGCCTCAGAAGGAATCTCTTTTGTGTCTGGTGTTACAAAACAGCAATGCATAAACCTCTCTGGAGAACATGCAACATCCAGACACTATTCTTAGTGAACAATGTCCGACTCTTAGGAAGGCAGTAAAAAGACAGCTCTCTCCAAAGAGGGAGGGGACTTCTGGCCACTCAGATTCCAACTCTTAGGAAGGCAGTAAAAAGAGAACTCTCTCCAAAGAGGGAGGGGACTTCTGGCATCAGCAAGATTACTCTAATTCCATTCTCCCCCCTCACCTTTCCACCAAAACAAGTGCTCAAGACAGCTAATAATAAAGAATAGTAAAATACAGATTAAAGATGAAATCTTAATTAAAAGCTGAACATAAATACATTAAAAATATAGGAATAACAGACATAGCTAGCTATCACCAAACTACATTAACCCTCTTTGACTCATGTCCATGCCAAAGGCTTGCCTCAATACAAACGTATTTGCCATGCTTTGGAAGGATACTCATAATAGAAAGGGTGGTGGTGGGATCTACCATTCTTTGGTGGGAAGTTCCATCACAATCTGGGATAGGCCGTTGAGGAAGTCCTTTTTCCCCCCAGGAGATGTGCTTCTGGTGATGTTGGGGCTAATTGGAGGACCTCATCAACAGATCTTAAAAACCTGGCAGCTTAAATGGAATGATTCAGTCATGACTTTCTTGCATTTACAAAAGGCTGTTTTGTTTTGGTTTTTTAATTTCAAGATAGAGCTACAGTATAAGTCTAGTCAGCTTCTATGGACAGAATGAAATATGCCAATGCCATTCTGACCTTCACTTTCAGCAGCAAACTGTCTCGTACAGGCCTGAAAAAAATAACATATTTTCTTTGGTGGAAAGTTCCATCACAATCTGGGATAGGCCGTTGAGGAAGTCCTTTCCCCCCCGCCCCCAGGAGATGTGCTTCTGGTGATGTTGGGGCTAATTGGAGGACCTCATCAACAGATCTTAAAAACCTGGCAGCTTAAATGGAATGATTCAGTCATGACTTTCTTGCATTTACAAAAGGCTGTTTTTGTTTTTGTTTTAATTTCAAGATAGAGCTGTAAGTCTAGTCAGCTTCTATGGACAGAATGAAATATGCCAATGCCATTCTGACCTTCACTTTCAGCAGCAAACTGTCTCGTACAGGCCTGAAAAAAATAACATATTTCCTATAGCAGGAAGAAACATCCCGGGAGAGGCCTTAACATAAGCATATGCCTACATACCATATCTTTTCAGGACATATTACCCTTTAATTGTGCACCACTCTGTATTGAAATACACCACGTTGTATTTTTAAAATATACAGTATATTCAAGGCAGATAAATCTGTTCTCTTTGGCTAGATTTGGCTCAGCTTTCCCTAACCTGGTGTCCCCAGATATTTTGAAGGTATTCTCTCAGCCAGCATGGAGAATACTCAGGACTATGCTGTGGATTGTAACCCAAAATCTGTAGGGCACAAAGTGGAGGAAAGCTCCATCAAATGACTTCACTTGTTTTTATTTTTGACATGGCAACATTGTTTATGAACTCACCAATGCATCCTAGATAAGCGTTCAGATGGACGCTCCTTGCCTCCTTGTCCACAATTAAATGGATTGTTAGGTACTTGTAAGCCACAATGTTACCACTTCTCAGACACATGTGAGAGAACATTTGCACAAATGAATAGAATCAAACAAATCTAATTAGGCCTCATCTAGAGTACTGTGTCCAGTTCTGGAGTAAGTTTAGACGAGGGTAACAAGGATAATCGGGGCTGGAAACCAAGCCTTATGAGGAAAGACTGAAAGAACTGGGCATGTTTAGCCTCGAGAAAAGAAGGCTGAGGGGAGATATGATAGCACTTTTCAAATACAGTACTTGAAAGCTAGTCATACAGAGGAGGGCAGGATCTGTTCTTCATCATCCCAGAGCGCAGGACATGTAACAATGGGTCGTAGATACAGTAAGCTGGATTTAGGCTGACTATCAAGGAAAAAATCGTAATTGTTAGAGCAGTACAACAATGGAACCAATTATCTTGGGAGGTGGTGAGTGCTCCGACACTGCAGCCGTTCAAGAGAAAATTGGACAGCCATCGGTCAGATCTGCTTTGACTTGGATTCCAGCACTGAGCAGGGGGTTGGACTCAATGGCCTTATAGGCCCCTTCCAACTCAGTTTTTTTTAATGATTTCTCCTGTGGAGGGTTCATCACCTAAATGGTTCATTTTAAGCAAAAGCAGCAGCATAGAACTGGATCTGTCATGTGAACACAGTCTTGATTGCAGGACATCTCAGAGGGAAGGAACACGGAGATGCCTGACCTTGCATCCAAATGGGCAAACACTATGGTTATGAAACTTCACGGTCCTCTCTGATCTATGTGTTCTCTTGCAACATGTAGGTCAGACTTACCAAGGACATGTATGTACCACAGTGGCCACGGAAGCAAACCTTCTTTGCAGTGTCATCAAACAGCAGCTGGAAGATCTCTGTGTTACCCACAGCCATAGCGTTGGCATAGAGGTCAGCACCTGCCAGGACAGCAAAACAGCAGAAGGTTGCAGCTAAAGACAGAAAATCACTCAACCCCACCCCACCCCTCAAAACTGTTGCATGTGTCATGGATGCCCTCTGCTGACTGAAGTACAGTTTTTGCATGCAAAGTGAAACCCAGAAAACAAGAGGCAAGTCTGAAATACCTACATGGTTTTTGATGCTCTGAGGAAGACTTCTGTGCACCTACATTTGTTTTCACCCTTTTTGCAGCTGATGTCTAGTGATTCAAACTAGACAAACCATTAGAGACTAGCCTGGATCCCGATCCCTATTTAGAGATGGACTCTGAATTCATTCAGAGTATCTTGTCACCATCTGTTCCCCTGAACACATGGTTTCCAACATGCAGCAGGGTCACTATGGTACAAACATTGTTCAACTGTGTGTGCAAGATAATGGGTCTCAATTTGGAAAGCTTCTGTATGTTGGTTTATTACACTAAGCTTCCTTCGTAACTACCTGCTCTGAGCAATTACTCTGTGCCGCTCTCTTTGCATGGGAAAAAGTTGCAGGATGGGTTGGCTCACACTGACTTTCTCTAGCTCTGTGAGTATATACTCACCTCTGCAGGGTCTTGCATTAAGCTTAGAGTTGAACTTGTCTCATGTGCATTACCTATCTCAATATTAGTCCAGGCTCCCTAACACTTAGCGTCCCCCACCGCCCAATCCCAAATGCTGTGATTTCTCCTCAGATGCCTCCCATCTAATTATTTCATTTTTAGTTCACTTCTGTTACCAGGTGTACTCTCAGAGCATGACCTCACACATCCTGCTCAGAGACACACCGATAAGGGATCTTTGAACTGTGGCAATAGTGCATCTTCAGCCCGATTGGACTAAGCATATCACACTTGCACTGAGCTATTCAGAAGGCCAGTTTTACTGAACACAAAAGAATTAAAATATAGCATAGATTCACAATGAAGTGTATAACTAATATGGGAAAATACAGGCTCAAAGAAGCAAAGTCACATGGCTGAGAGGGTTCTGAGATTCAGGCTGCTCTGCAAAGGTCTGCAGTTATCTGAGCAGGCTATTCACAGAGGTGCTAGAAGGGTAAAAGGAAAGGGGGAAAAAAGATCTTTCCCTAACACACACACACACACACACACGGACGCCACGTGCACACGCACACGCACGCACGCGCACGCACGCACGCACACACACACACACACACACACAGAGAGAGAGAGAGAGCACAGGAATGTGGGGGCAAATTTGGGAGCCACCAGTGTGTGGGGAAAACACTCCAAGAAGAGAGTTAAAGGGTGACAAAGATGACCTCTCCTCAGTCTTGCTAGACTGTCTTGGGGTTAGAGAGTGTTGGAACTCCAGCTGGAACAATGTAAGTGACTTTCAGAGGTTCTGGGTGAGAAACTAGGCAAGTAGGAGAGCTACATAAGCTCTCTTGTCTGAAGAAGTGGATTGATCCATGAAGGTTCATATTAAAAAATATATAAAAGTTAGTCTTTAAGGTGCCACCACATTTTGGTCTTGTTTTACTTTTTATTTTGTTTTCACATATAATGCTTGTACAGATGAACACGACTACCTCTTCTACATAAGGTAGCAGGATCCTCTGGTTGAATCCTAGACTCGGGGGGGGGGCAAGATAGGGCTTTCAGCTAAGCAATGAAGGCAGCACAGGATAAGACAGAAGATTCAGACAGAGATAGATACAGAAAGAAGATTCACCCCAGATCCTTCCCTCAGAACAACTAACATGGTTTGTTGTTGCTGCTGTTTAGTCATTAAGTTGTGTCTGACTCTTTGTGACCCCATGGACCAGAGCACGCCAGGCCCTCCTGTCTTCCACTGCCTCCCAGAGCTGGGTCAAAGTCATGTTGGTAGCTTCGGTGACACTGTCCAACCATCTCATCCTCTGTTGTCCCCTTCTCCTCTTGCCTTCGCTCTTTCCCAACATCAGGGTCTTTTCCAGAGAGTCTTGCTTTCTCATGAGATGCCCAAAGTATTGTAGCCTCAGCTTCAGGATCTGTCCTTCCAGTGAGTACTCAGGATTGATTTCCTTCAGAATGGATAGGTTTGTTCTCCTTGCAGTCCAGGGGACTCTCGAGAGTCTCCTCCAAAGCCACAATTCAAAAGCATCCATTCTTCAGCGGTCACTTCCATACATCACTACTAGAAAAACCATTGCTTTCACTATGAGGAACTTTGTCGGCAAGGTGATGTCTCTGCTTTTTAAGATGCTGTCTAGGTTTGTCATCGATTTCCTCCCAAGAAGCAGGTGTCTTTTAATTTCGGGGCTGCTGTCACCATCTGCAGTGATCATGGAGCCCAAGAAATTAAAATCTATCACTGCCTCCATATCTTCCCCTTCTATTTGCCAGGAGGTGATGGGTCCAGTGGCCATGATCTTAGTTTTTTTTATTTTTATTTTATTTTTTTGATGTTGAAATATGGCTACTGCATGTCTTTTATATGGTTTCTCACCAGACTGACTAGTAATCTGGCCCTTTGTTAATCAAGTGTCCTTTTCTGTTCTGATCTTAGTCTTTGCCAATTTGGCTAATCCTATTTGATGGTCCAGAGACAATGCATAGAAAGATGATGGACAACTAAAATGCAAACCATTCTAGGATGTCTTTTTTCTTAGGCTTGCAGACAATCCTTTTAGCATAAAAACTAAATAAGCTATTTAACCATCTGGTTTCTCCCCAGGAGGGCTATCCTAAGAGATTCATGTCTTCTATGTAATTTTACCGATAATTTAGAGCTATATTCCTATCATTTTTTCTTGGGGCTTGGCTCATTTTAAGACCAGGGCTCTTGTATTTTCCAGTTAAAATAGTCTGTGGCATGTCTTAGTAAGAATGAGACTCTGCAGGGGTATTGTATAAACCTGGACAGTTTCGTAACACTTCTGTGCATGTTCTTCTTCAAGACGTCTTCACATACATTTCCATAGGATTCCTCCTCCTCATTCCACAACATATTCTGCACCCTCCTTCAGCTATCTTGCCTCTGATGTCCATGAACCTTAGCTGCTTTACCTCTGACAGCATCTTCCCAATCTGGCCTCACAGGTTAGACGTGTTTCCACGTCCAAGTCAAAGACAATTTCTCCACTCTTCATTGGACTTTGACTTTAAACATTTCTTGTTTCCAGAGCAGGAGAAATGACCACAAACTCCCCATCTCATAGATCAGGCCAGTGAAATCAGCATCATGTTTCACTCCTCTAAATGCCTTACAATAACAAAAATGTTGCCTTTAATCATCTCACCTGGTCTACAGCAGATGAACTTGTTAGTAGAAAAGGAGCGCATGGAGACCTGGGCTGGGCTGGATTCCATGCTGAAGAGTTCATCCCGTCCAGGCTTGTCCATCTTTACAGTCTTCATGCCACCTTCTCGCCCAGTCAAGTACTTCCTCTCATCATCCCGCAAGGCAATCAAACCACCATGGATCTCCAGGGAGTATAATGTATCTGAGGTGACCTCTGACACTAGTGAGCCATTGGAAGCCAATAGTTTGCCAGCTCCATTCCTCAGTCCATACTTTTTCACTGGAGACAAAGACAAGAGAAATCGGATTAAAGCTTGTCAAGATATGGCTTTTGTTGTTGGGAAACAGTAAACAATGAATGCTTACAGAGCAGCCTCATGCCAAGAGATTCATTTCACTGCAGTATTACCTGTAGAGACTCATCTGCAATAACAAGCAATTCCAGGCATCCCAGTTCTTGTCCACCCTTGAGCATTGCCATTTCATCTCTCATAGCTAATTCCCCCCCCACACACACACACATTATTCCCTCTCTTCCTTTTTGGTGTGAGGTTTGAGCTTCACAGGATCTTAATTTCATAATCCTACCATTCTGCTATCACTGCAACGGTTTTATTGGAAAGCCTGTTTTTCTGGCATTGTTGTCCCGGGAGATTTGCATATGTTCTTACTGGATATAATTAGTCAACCTGGCTCCCATTCAGATACAGATGGATGCATCCAGTCCCACGCAAGCATCTAACCTGAATCTCAGCTGAAAGTTCTGCACACTGTAACAAACAGCACTTCTCACAACTACCCAAGAACAGAGCTGGAAAAGTTGGTTTTTATTTTTGGATTACATCTCCAGAATTCCTGAGTCAGCAAGTAAGCTGGGGGATTCTGGGAGGCACAGTTCCATCCCCACCACAAAAAATAAAAATAAAAATAAAAAAAATAAAAAATTCCTGAGATCTGCCCAAGCTAGGACTGCTGATAAAGAAATCAAAACTTGTGCCATCCACAGTGACTTTGTGCTAAAGAGAATTTGAATTCACCTGGTATATATGGGGAAAATTCCCTTCTGTCAGCATTGTGTGCCGCGGACGCCAAACCTATTGAGGAGATGCAAATGACTCAGGCTTAAGTTTTCCACACATTACAAAAATAAACAAACAAACAAAAAACCCAACCAAACAAAAAAAAAAACAATCAAGCCCAGAGAACAAATTTAGAAGATGCTTGGGATGCTGAGGATATTTCTGCCAGGTTTTGGATTTTCACAGGTACTTCTCTCACCCTCTTAAATCCTCTAAACTAACTTTGTCAAAGGACCAAAGAGGAAGAGAAATTATGTGCACAAGGATACATGGGCAGGTCAAAAAGCAACATGAGCATGACGAGAACCCATCTGTGTTTCTTGGGGGATGGCCTTGGGAGGTAACTGCTTGACATGGCACAAGTTGGGTGGGCAATGGCGGTACCTTACCAGTTGTTCCTCCTGAGGCCACTGATCACTCCCTTCTTGTGGGGGAATAGAGCAGTGTGTGCCACACTGTGCCTTTTAAAGTCACTCATCTCAGGAACAGGGGAAGACACTAACCCGTTGCCCAGAGTTGAAGATTCAACTGTTAGCCCTGTTGGCTTCTATACAGAGTAAAGTATGAGAGACTTTATTACTTATTTTTTTGATTTATATGCTGCCTTTCTCCCAGTGCTGGCATGTAAGGTGGCTTCATTTAAAAAGCAGTAACATTAAAGTAAAAACCCCCAAATAAATTTAAACCCATCATAATATTTTAGTGCAAATAAAATTAAATCATTCAAAAACATCTCAGGTAAAGTCTTAATAATATCTTAAAGGCAGAAGAAATTTTAAAAAGCAGGTAAGGTGAAGGTTCCAGTCGTGTCCAACTCTAGGGCAAGGTGCTCATCCCCATTTCCAAGCCATAGAGTCAGCGTTTGTCCGAAGACAATTTCCATGGTCACGTGGCCAGCATGACTAGGCATGGAATGCCATTACCTTCCCACCGTGGTTGTACCTATTTATCTGCTCGCATTGACATGTTTTCGAACTCCTAGGTTGGCAGGAGCTGGGACAAGCGACGGGAGCTCATGGATTCAATCTTCTGACTGCTGGTCTTCTGACCCTGCAGCACAGAGGCTTCTGCGGTTTAATCCGCAGTGCCACCATGTACCTATGCAGGTACATCCAGCTAAAACCTGTCCAGAGCATACTGTCAGTTACCAAAGGAAAACCTGCCTGTCTAAAAAATCTCCACTTTTCCTGCCATTGGAAGATTGAGGATTGGGCACTCTAACCTCCCTCATAAAGGAATTCCAAAGCATTGGGATAATCACAGAGAAGGCCTGCTAACTTTTGCCTCAGGCGGTGAAACGTTTGGAACGCCAGCCCTGAAGTTCCTGAAACTGGCTTACATCATTAAAAACACAATATTAAAAGTGAAAACCAGCAATTTGTTCAAATATTAAATAATTAATAACTATGTAAAAATGTTAGTTAAAAGCATTACATGAAAACCAGTAATTTGTTCAAATATTAAATAAGAATTAATAACATTATGTAAAAATGTTAGTTAAAAGCATTACAAAAACCACATTTACAAGCAACAAAATATAAACCATCCCATTCCATTCACTGTCTCCTAGACAGTCAGTAAGGAAAAGTCTGCCTGAAAAGAAAGGTCTTTGTTTGGTTGTCAAAGGACAGCAAAGGTGGGGCCAACCTGGTTCTCCTGTGGGAGGGAGTTCCAGAGTCTGGGAGCAGCAACAGAGAAGGCTTTCCTCTGTGTCCCCACCAAATGCACCTGTGAGGGTGGGTGAGGCCAAGAGAAAGGCCTCCCCTGATTATCTTAACACAGTGGTTCCCAACCTTGGGTCTCCAGATGTTCTCAGACTAAAATTCTGAGAAGCCTTCATTACTTAGCAGTGCTGGCCAAGATTCCTGGGAGTTGTCCAAGAACATCTGGGAACCACTGGGCAGGCTCATAAAGCGAGATATGTTCCTTGAGATAGGGCTTTATAGATTAAAACTAGCCCTTTGAATTGTGCCTGCAAATGGATCAGCAGCCAGTGGAGCTGCTGCAACAGGGGAGTTGTGATCCCTGTAACTAATCCCAGTTAACAATATGGCTGCAGTGTTCTGGACACACTGAAGTTTCCAAGCACTTTCCAAAGGCAGGTAGAGGGCTGATGCAGAGAACAGATAGATGCACATTCCAGCACAGCAATACACGAGCCTGTCTCCTCCAATCTTGAGCAGAACTCAGTAAAATAATGACAGTCTATCATGAGGCACTGCTGTAGAGAAAATAGTTAGGGGCCATGGGAGGGCTCTGCTGAATTTTATAAGACTTAAAAAGGACGAAGTAGTCACTGCAGATGAGTAACTTGCAGAACTTAAAGCTTGCGAAACAAAAATCCAAATCCTTTTTAAAGAAACAGTTCACAGAATTACATGGACAGAATGCAAGTTAGGAACAGAACATTGCATTCCACATAGTCTCTAATTCTATCACAAACCATACCGAAGAGGAATGTGCCATGCTCTCTCACTACATTGGACACAACTGCATGCAGCAGTGGGGACCAGGGAGAGTAAATCATCATCGTCATCTTAGAACTACTGATCTGACTCCATAGCCAGATTCCCAAACCACTGAGCTATCCAGCAGTTCAAGAAAGTGATTTTTTCCCCAAGGATATGAAACAGCAATTGAGGGAAGCATATTATTCATCTGAAATAAAGGTGCAATTTGAAAGATGCAATGCAGACTGTGGACATTAAAATGTGGAAAATGTGGACTGTTCTCAGTAGAACTTACCATGCAATTCTAGGCATGTTTATTCAGATCTAAACAATGCCATTTCCAATGTCTCTTCCTCTCATAGTAAAAAGGATCACAATGTTACATGTCATGTTTTGGGCTGTATTAATTCTTGTCATTCAAAACATGTTTTCTACTTTATTGTATTTATATGTCACTTTTCTCTCATGGCTGTGACCCAGAACAGGTTACATGTAGTTAAAGAACGAGACCAGTAAAAAAGTAAGTTACTGATATTGAAGTACAATAAAAAGCAGTTAGTAGTAAAATACAATTAAGTGAAAACACTTCAAAAGCATCTCAGCTGCATTCCTGTTTTATTTATTACATAGAAGAAACGTTTTAGTTACGTTTAATATTTATTAATTAATTTAATTTAATTTAATTTCTATGCTGCCTAAATGTTTTAGTTACGTTTAATATTTATTTATTTATTTAATTTAATTTAATTTAATTTCTATGCTGCCCAATCTACCCAGAGGTCTCTATGGTTTGTCTTGGGATTCAAAGTTGTATCCTGCTTCTTGGGAGATGTTTTCAAGGTTATTTGATTTCAGGGTCAAATTTTGGGACAACCTAGGATAATTTCAAATGAAAAAGCCAACACTAGAATGGAAAGATAGGAACCCACAAGTTATCATTCCCAGATGTTTAGTCACCTATTTGTTCCATGTTGCACTAAGGCTTTGAGAACATCAGGATGATCCTTCAACCTCTTCTCCTATGCAAGGAAAAGGAAGTTCAGTAGGAAAATGTCTCCACCCACCTTTGAAATCATAGTAGATAGTGATGACTGATTCAGCTCCCCAAGGCAAGTCCCGGTCACAGCGCAGCATCCCTGCTTTCTCATCACAGCGCACGTAACGCCTCCTATTGGGGCTGTACATGGCAACATTAGGATGCACTGCAAGATGTAAGGTCCATTTCTCTGTTTCGGAGGCAGCCTGAGCAAAGCATGTGACATTCTCCTCTGCTCCACCAAGGTAGCGCTTGGATTGCTCATTCTGGAAAGACACCTGCCAGGAAGAAGGCAGGAAGAGAAAGGAGCCACGTCAGCCTCATTGCCCATAATGGGAAGAAGGTAGATCATGCTTGCTGGTCACAAAGAAAGTATCAGAACACTCCATCATCATCACAAGAACATCCTATGCAATTGCGTTTACAGTTGTTTTGCCATCAGCATGCCCATTATGCCTAACTCACCCAACTGTCTCAAGGACTTCTGGCAGAAGAAGAGTGGTTAGGCCATCCTGACCGAGGGACACCTAACACAGGGTTTGACAAGTAATTCCAACATATTCTCTCCCTCATCAGCATGAGGTGGTCACTGTTCTTTTGCGTAACAGGAAAAAATGAGAAGTGTGTTGGTCCACATGGGTAATTTCTCCAGGAAGGACACAAGTGTGTTATGAGAGGGAAAAGTCTACACAGAACTCTTCCAGCTGATGACCAGCCCAAGATATGTTGCTGCCTGAAATCAAACAGGAAGTGGCAGTCCCTTAATTTAAGTGCAAAGTACCCAAGGCCAACCAGGTTATTCTAGCAGCTAGGGCATAAAGTCCAACGAGTTCCTCTCCCTGCCAGAAAATATGCAAGAAAAATAATTCGCAGAATTAAGCACCTACTACCCTTCTGTGATATCACAAAACCAGTGCCTGAGGCAACCACCATCCTCTACCTAATAGCAGATGACAGTATGATAGGAGTATAAGAAAGTGCTTGAGGCAGCCACCATCCTCTACCTAACAGTAGAGTCAATCGCAGCAGATGACAGTATGATAGGAGTATAAGAAGCTGCTATTTAGACTTTAATTTCAAGCCCCAACATCAGTGTACTAACTTTCTCCTCACCCCCAAACTCCTAAGCAATTAGGAAACACATGCAGTCATAAAAAGATGTTCAGATTTGGGAGAACATGCAAGTTGTTCTCAAGGCTTATTTATACAACCCATTTTTAACTCACTGCCCTCCCCACCACATCCTCTGAGCAAAATTCAAGCTTGAGAATACATGAAGTAACCCAGGTTGACATGAAGACACTTGTGTCTGCAGATGAATGACTACACCTTGCCATCAGGATACTGATGCAGCAGGAAGAAAGTCTGAGGCCCTGGCTTATCCTGGTCACAGGTAACTTTGCCATTTGGGTCAGCTGCCAAGAAGCGCTTCAGGGCACTGATCAGGTGAAGTTTCTGGCCAGCCCCTTCTCCTGGGCCAGCTGCCCCAGCTCCATGTGGACTCACAAACTGGAGTACCCACACCTGGCGAGGCTTCAGTTGCTTGCCTGTGGCTGCCACCTGGAAACGGAAAGGTTCAGCAGTCAAGTATCTATTGGCTGCATTGATAAGGCCAAATTCTAGTGAGACTGTCATTGTTGGGAACAACTAAAGCTTGGATGGCACCGATTGTTCAGACAAGGAAGCAAGGCCCACTGGAGGGTAAGCCCTTCCCATGAGATCACAGTGGGCGCCTAGCAACCAAGCAAACCTACCCAACCTCAGCCTGAAGCTCCACCCACAGAAATGCACCATCCAAGCTACACAGTTCTACCCACTTAAAACCACATAATTCACTAGACCCACAAGCAACACTCACTTATAATGAACTAATGGAACATCATTCATGCACAACTTATGATTCTCCTGGGCTTTCCTCAAAGGAAGGATTTAGTATGGAACTTAGCTTCGCTGAAGGCCTGTTCTCCAGATTGTGGGGGTATGAGAACTCTGTGTTCACCATTATTCCACCCTTCATAGTACTGAAGTATTTACTCATGCCTCAGTACAAAGACCACTTCTAAGTCAAGAAAATATGCCTGTAATGTTCACCATTATTCCACCTTTCCTATTACTGAAAAGTTTACTCATGCCTTATCACAAAGAACAGTTCTAACAGCCAAGACAAGATGCTTGTAATGGAACACCTTTCCCTCAGAGAAGGAAGCACTTTCACTATCTTATTCTGAAGGAAGCACTTTCACTATCTTATTCTATCTATCAATGTGGAATAATCACCATTCATGATTCCATGCTCCTTAGATGAGGCTGGCTCTAGTCAAACAACATTCCTCATTAAAAAAGTTCTCATCTCAGTGCAGTGCCTCATCACAAATAAGAATTCATGGAAGGAATGCAGAGCCTACTCTTAAAAAACAACCCACCACACTCCACTTAGACCATGATTTAATAGGATAGGGTAGTTAAAAGATAACCAACCTAAATTAACAATCAAAAGCAGTGACAGCCTTGTTGGCAAAACAGAAATTGTAAACTCTGTACTGCCCAGGAGTTAAGAGAGAGTTGGAGATCTAGTAACTTTTAATCATATTGAAAATATCATCCTGGACACTTAAGGAAAATTTAATTTTTTTAACCTGAGGGCCACAGATAATGGTCATGGCCTTTGGGTAACACATGGCCCTAGAATTACATCTGTATGCACATAAAGGCCAATAAAATTATCCTCAATGAGAGAAGTGGGAAGCTTGCTCTCCACCTCATCCTTGCCCTCCATGAAGGAAAGAAGGATCGATGGTTAGCCTTCTTTACATCCTTTCTCCAACAATTTACTACTAGCAGCTGAAGGGTACAACCCGTATAAAATTAGGAACAAATGGGGAACAGAGGAGCTGGCAAGAAGGTCAGGAGCCTACTGGAGACAGCAGTAAAGATGGGGTGGTGGCGGCACACATTGTTTACTCTTCTAAGAAGCAGGGAATTTTGTCTCCAGATGCCTCTAGTCCCATGTTCACCAGGGTAAGCATGGCTAGTGGTCAAGGATATTTATTATCCAAAATATCTCAAGGGCACCAGGTTGCCTTAGAGTAATTGTTAACAAACTTGGGTCCTCAGATATTCTTGGACTAAAACTCCCAGAAGCCTTCACCACTAGTTGTGCTAGCCAGGATTTCTGGGAGTTGTAATCCAAGAACATCTGGGGACCCAAGGTTGGGAAACACCGTCTTAGAGAAATGAATGTGCAGACAGGCAGGACAACATACTCTAATAATCACTAAGATAGATATTTGAGATAATTTTTAGAGAAACGAATGTGCAGACAGGCAGGACAACATGCTCTAATAAAGAATCACTAAGATAGATATTTGAGATAATTTTTCTGTTTGCAGGATTTCCCACTTCTTATTCTTCGGGATACCAGACTAACACTATGAAGTATTAGCTACCCTAATGCAGGATACAGTTATTATTCATATATAATACAAAGTCTGTCAGTTAAATCACCTCAAATTATAAAGATTTGGAACCAGAATTACTTTTATTAGGTATGTTATTAGAGGATTTTGAGAACATTGTATACTATGAGAGCAATATTATGATAGTAGCCAATATTCTATACTAAAATACACATACATATGGTTTAAATGCTTTAAAAATGTATAGATTTTGAAGGGACAACTAAGAAGACACCAAGACACAAAAACCCCCAAATAATTATAAGCAACCCATGTAACACAATATTTAACAAGCACAAATTGAATGTAGATAGCTTGAAAAACTAAAATGTTTAAAAAGAAAATCACACAGTAGTAACTTTTACCAAATCCCAAAGTAGGTGCTAGAAGCCTTCAACCAGAACATATGCACTGTTACTTGTTAATTCTTTCTATTTACATTTGTTACATTCCTTTAGGATTGCAATAAGCTGAAAGCAACTTGACAAAACATGATACAATCGTTTTTTTTACATTCTGCTCCTTAGAGAGCAGGTATCTCCTTAGAGATACTTAAATACAAACTTCAGAGATCTGAAGAGTTTCATCAGTTTTCACCACCGCTTGTCTTCCTCTTCTCTCCTCATCATTAGCCAATCCAATTATTTTGAAATGGTGGTTTCTTTTCCTTCAGTTTTCCAGAGCAATACAGGGCACTAACTCTTGTTACTGAACATTCACTTAATACTGATGATAGATTACATCAGGAATCCTGAGTCTTCCCTAGGCTTGCAAACCAAGATCATTGAAAAGGGCAACCTACAGCACCCTTCTCCTATTTCAGAAAACCACTGCGAGAGATCACTTCTGATCTCTGGCAAGCCCATCTGTGTTCTCTACTTGGCAAGAAGAGATGATGGTGGCAGAGAAGGGCAAGATTACCTCCAAAGGAATATTGACTTCGACGAAACAAGGGTCAACAGCTGTCCTTGAAATAGAGAACAGATAATTGACTGAACACCAGAACTTTATGGACTTGGTGAAATATTACTACCAAGTTAAAGGCACCTCCTTATTTTCTAATGGTAGAACATTTAATATAATTCAGGATTGCAATTTTTTTTCAATGAACCAAATGAAGCAGTCACAAAGAAACATCATGGTGCAACTTGTGTTCTTTTAAATCTATAGTATGCATATAGGTTATGGTTCCTTGTTGTTGTTTGAAGTTCACTCTTTAAACAGTGGTCTCACATATGCAACTTATGTCAGGGTTTAGACAGTCTGAAGTGTAATTTATTAAGTATAATGATGAGATAGAGGTTTAAGCTTTTAAAAAAAACACAATTTTAATTTCTGTACATAAAATGGTTTTTTGAACTAATTTGCATTATTACATAAAGCCATGGTTGTACAAGGGCTACTACCTACCCAAAACATGGCATCTGTCTTATTTATCCACTGTCGCAATCTAGGTCACATTAGTTCACCTACCATTCTCTAAAACAACTCATCTTGCTTCATTTAAAAGTTACAAAGGGAGGGGGGAAAAGAAACCATACAATGCAGTATAAAAGATTGACAATATCATCAAGTTTATTACACAATTTTCAACCTATCAGAAAAAGACAAACAAATCAAATCACAAAGAACAAGGGTGGAAGAGTCAAGGGGAACCAAGGCTACGTTTCATTTGTCATTTCTTTCTTTCATTTTTCCCATTATTTCAAAACAAACTAAAAAGTCCCATTTTGTAAAAAGCAACATTTCCAATTCATGTTTGGTATTTTACAGTGTAAGCTGTCACTCCTTTTTTTACATAACTTTTTTTCTCTTAAAAAACACGAAGCGTCAAATACCTCTGGATCAACAGTACAAGAGGTGGTTCTGCATCACATGGTGATATCCTCTGAGATACCATCCCTTCCTCTTTAGACCACACAACTGTTCAGTCAGATGAGACAGGATCCTTCTACAAGGGAAGCTTCACCATGCAAGCTGGAGAGTCACATTAATTGTTCATGAGTGGAACAGATGCTCAGCCTTATTGAGAGATCCAAGTTTCTGAGGCTATGTATTCCAGGATACAGTGTACTGTTGTGATTCTAAATAACTGGTGTGCCTCAGGCTTAGGTGTAGTACTGAAAGGTGAAAATGCACACCCCAAAGGGTTACATCACAAAGATGACAGCTTAATCAAGCACTCTGCGGCCACCTGTCTTGCCATGCTCCTTATGTTGACTTTGATGACACTGGCCTGGAGGGAGTTGCTGGCTGAATGACAGAGTGGCTCCAGTAACCTTAATTATGTTTACAGAACACAGTTATATATGGTGATGTGGCTTTCCACTGTCTTCAAATGTGTCCCTAAGATTGGCATGCCAGAGATCACTGATGTATTGTGCTAACTGAAGCAAACTCCATAGTGACTGCAATGTAAAAATCACGTGGGCCGGAAGAAAAATTGGACCTTAAATCAACACATACATTACACAGAATTTTAAAATGCTGAGGGTGGACTGCAGTCAGGAACTTCCAGAAAGACCCAGCTTGACTTTGCCGCCATTCCATGCTACTGCATCAATCGGGTCTCTGTTCACATAACTTCCTCTACAACAAGGAAGGTAGTACTCTGGGACAGACTGGCCCTGGAAATAAAGACTGATGTAAGCAGCTGCAACTGGAACACCTACTGCATGAAATGAGGCAAAGAACCTGTTAGTAAATCGTGTGGAGAGGATGCCTACAATAACCAGAGCCAGATCTACTCTCTTTTTTAAAAAAGGGGATCCTGTATTGTAACAAGTTGATCAAGACCAGCCCCACTAGGAGCAGCCAGATATAACAAATATGATACTGTTCAAGAACTATGTGGGGAAAAGAGAAGGGAGTGCCTGGAAGCAGCAGCTGGCCTATCCTCCATCTTGGAAGAGGGGAAAAAAATACTGTTTTCTGAGCGGTACACAACAGTACTAGAGGGACAAGATTAAAGCTGCTTTGGAAAGACAGCCAGACTTTAGGACTGAGTGCCTTAATGTCTGACAGTGCAGTGTGGACCGTGGACATGAGCTCCGGCGAAACTATAGTCATACACCATGGGATTGTACTGAAGCACGAGTTCTTCCAATGAGAGACAGGATGGATGAGTTCCTCCCCAAGTGCTTCTAGAAATGCCATGGAACAAGGTGGCAAACCTCTGTGGAAAGCACCATTTCTCTTTAGGTCCAAGAATCCATGGCCCCCTGGTCACAGTGGCTCAGAGAACCCCTCCCAAACTCCAAGTCATTCACTGAGTCTCCATCAAGAAGAAGGAGGAGCAGCAGCAGCAGCAGCACACTGGCAGAGCTCAGGTCCCACTGCCACAGTGTGCCAGACGGTGTTCTCAGGCAACACTTCCAAGGGGTTCAGAAAGAGCAGAGGACAGCGGGAAGGAGGGAGTGGAGAAGCCTCCATTCTTTTAGTCTTCAGTAAGGAATGGAGATACGAGTCTCTAAAACCACTGAATGCTTCCCCGGTCCTGCAAAAGGGAAAAAACCATATAGAAACATTTGTCATTTCAACAGCATTATTAAGGAGCTTTGCTGTAAAAGAGCATATTCTTCATAACCTCTCAACGACAACAACAAAAGTATAAGTGGACATCCAACCACTTCCTGTTCTGATAGGTAGGGGAGCCATTCCCAGGCCCAGTGTAGCCCTGTGAAGATGGCACTGAGGATGAAAATATAGCTCTCAGCCCCACCAAAATTGCTTAGGTCATGACCAAGGATTGATTCCTTCACTCCTGCTAGTCAGTGTCCAACTAACGCTTTTACCCAACAGAGGAGTATCTTGTCAATATTTGCCCCCCTTCACCAGTACTGCTTTCCAAACTTCCTGAAACAGGTCCTATTTTGCTGGATTATCCAGAACTGAATTGGGAGTAGGGTGAGTGGAGAAGAAGGGTAAGCTTTATCAGTGAGCAAAATCTGTATGTGCAGTGTTGGGCATTATCCATGGTCTCCAAAATCAAGCTGAGGTCCTAAACACTTACACAGAAACAAAAAGGTGGAGAAGACAGCATTTGTTTCAGCGGATCAGAACTTTCTAATTCTACAAATTACAATAGAATTAAATGAGCTAATACGGCCAACTTCAAAACAGCATTTTTTTTCTCGAGGTTTTAAAAGCTCCACCAATATTCATATTATGCTTCCTTATGAAGTAAGATGGAAATTTAATCCCCCCCCCAATTTCATTACATGTTGTGTTTTAGAAACCAAGTTTAGGAATCCAAGGCTATATGAGTCAATTTAACAGGTGATTTATACACTGAGCTAAGCAAAATCAACAAACACAGCATAATTAGGGCACCAGAAAAAGTAATGACTGTTCCCATCTGTAGCTGGACTCAACAGGAAATGCTAGTACTGTAATGTAAAAGCAGACCCTTATGGAATTTAGTTTGATAATTTCACAGAACTTAAGCAGAATTAGTGCCTCTCTAAGGAAGACACATGCAAGTTGTACAAAAATAGCTTCTGCATAATCACACACCTTACAGTTTGTTTCTGAAGTTCTCAAATCAAAATTTGTGGCCTGGTGTTAGAGCCAATGTGCTTATTAATAAATATACATGAGTGACTAAATACAGTGGTGCCTCGTTCCGGATTAACGTTGGCTATGCTGAAGCATCGTTGAACGGGGCAGGGAATTCCATTGGAACGCATTAAACATGGTTTAATGCGTTCCAAATGGGCCGAATACTCACCGTTCAGTGATGCTTCTTAATGGCCGGCAGCCATTTTCGCGCCCTCGCCTCGCTTAACGAGGGCGTGAAAACGCTGCGCGCGGCCATTTTGGGCCATTTCCGGGCTTCCGGCGGCCATTTTGGCCGCCGAACAGCTGATCATTGGGCTTCGTTTTGCGAAGATCGGTAAGCGAAACGCTTACCGGTCTTCGCAAAGCGAATTTTGCCCTATTTAAAAAACGATGAGCGATCGCATTAGCGATCCGAAAAAACGGATCACTATGCGATTTCGTCGTTATACGGTGCGCTCGTTAAGCGAGGCACAGCAAAACCATGCTCCGCAGAGTTTATATACAAATGTTTTTGTCAGTTTGAGAATGCAGTCTATTCCCACTGCAGTTCCAAGCCCCAGCTAAGTACCTGACATGGTTAGAGTTGGTCATGAAACTCTGTTTGGAGGTTCACACAGGTTTCTATGGCAGTTCCTTTCCCTGCCTTCTTGGCTAGATCCTTCACTCATAGCTGGCACATGCTCCTCTTCTCCTTCTCGTTGGCGGTTTGACCAGTCTCAGCAGGAGCACAGATTTCCCTGCCCCTCCTCCTTGGCTGCCCAGCCTCCACTCAGACAAGGAGGCAGGACAAGCAAAACCATGCTCCTGCCAGGGACTGGCTGAACAGCTGAAGAGGAGGAGGAGGACAACATGCTCTGACTGGCAAGTGGGTCATTTGGCCAGGGCAGCGGGAGAAGGGAATGTGCGGCACCTGTGGTGCCGTTCATATGAACCGACACAAACCTCCAAACCAAGGTTCATACCCATTTCTAGACACAATCCTACAATGGCAGAGGGAACGGAAAGCATGAACACACACTAAGCAAGGCTGAATTGCCTGACTGAAACAAAATGAAATCCAATATACAGGCAATGGTTTGGGAGCAGCTCTGTAGTGTACAAAAAAGCTCTACAGAGAACCATTAAAATTGCCCAGAATATCTTTGGGCTCCAGCTACCAACCCTGGATGACATCTTCACATCCCGCTGTCTGAGGAAGTCACACAACATCCTTAGACTTTTCCCATCCTGGTCACAACAGAACTATTAAGACTCGAATCACACCGAATAGTTTTTATCCCAGAGCTATAATTGCATTTCATAATGAACTTAAAGACCATCAGCAGTGAACAGTTGGACAGTGTTACTTAGCCCATGGTGCAGATGTTTGTTATTAGTGGGGATTTTTAGTGGGTGGGACTGTTGGGGGATTTTTTATGTGTGTGTATGTGGGTCTCATCTCTGGGTGTCTGTGTGAATTTCGTTGTATGAGTTACTATGTATATGCCTACAATGATAATGATAATGATGATGATAATAATAATAATAATAATACCATTTTTATTTGAATGAACTAGAATTCCATAGAAAACACTGGGCAACTCGTTTGAGCTACAAGGCAACTCAGAGCTCCTCTGACAGATTATAGGTCACTTTGTGATGAAATGTCTGAGGGGAAAAACTGTCACCCCATTTGAAAATGCTTCACTAGTGGGACACATTAAATGGAGAACCCCAAAGTGGCCATATTTATCCCCAGTAGCCAGACACACACGTGATCATTTCACTCCCTAAGTCAAGCAGAGGATTGCCCATGGAAAAAACTTTTGAGAACATAAGAGAACCTAACCTAACCGCATCTTCATGTGGGATGATACTCAACTTGATGGAAAGATGGTGTGCATTTTGGGAAGGGGGGGAAGGGAGAGATACTGGGGGAACGGGCAGCACCCTGGAAAAGTATCTCACTTCTTTCAGTGATGCCGGTCTCTTTCTCTGTCCCTGTCTCTGTGTCTCTCATGCTCTCGGCTCCTTTCCTGGAAATAATCCTCATGCCGATCTTCATTATGGACCACATCTCGGTGCCTTCTACTGCTCTCACGGGATCGACTGGGTGATCTATCTCGAGACCGATGTCTTTTTCTACAAAATAAAACCAAAAATCTAGTTTACAGATGATGAGCGGTACAATAGTCCATTTGTTTCTTCCTCTACAAAGGAACACATTTCTATTCAGTTGTGGCAGAAGCAGAGCACACTTGAGACTGAGTCATCAACTAAGTAAATCTAGCTAAATCACCTCTAATATCTGCGCTTATGGAAGTTTACCTGGAGGAACTGCTGCTGCTACTGCTGCTGGTGGTGGTGCCCATACTGTAAGACTTGGCTTCAATACCATGAAGACAATCCTTTAGTGAGGAGATAAGGACTCGACATCGCTCATCATTTGCTACTCGTGACTGTTTAATAACAGCAATGGCTGTGAGCAGGGTCTCAATGGCATCACTGTAATCCCCTGAGATATAAGAGCAAAGACAACATGTTGAGTGGGAAACCAAGAGCTAGGGAGTAAAGGAAATAGCAGGAGCCAGATATAGTTACCTGCACTGGCACCAGACACAGCTTTGGAAATGGCACTGCTGGAAATTGCTCGATTCCTGTTCATGATATCTTCAAATTCAGCTTCACTGACAGGAGGCGGCAACTGGCCCAATTCCCGGCTGCAGTACACAAACATACACCCACAACTCAGAGGCAGACAACAAATGGCTTCAAGCAGACCTGTGATAAGATTTCTCATCCACATGGATGGTAAATAAGAACCTTCCAAAAGTGCTCTATATCATCAACAGCATATTTTACTCCCCGATCTACACAAACCACTCAGTACTCTTTAGAATACTCAAGTAAGTCTTACTTGCCATGATGTAACCAGATGGGCAAACAGAACTGTGTATAGAATCTTCTTGCATTATCAGTAGTGGGATATTTCTTTAACGCCCAGTCAGAACACATTTTTAAAAATATACTAATACGGTCTAGATGCCACTTTCTGCATATCCCCAAGTTTCAGGTAAAAGGTTCCCCTTGACAATTTGTTCAGTTGTGTCCGACTCTAGAGGGCGACGCTCATCTCTGTTTTCCAACCCATAGAGCTAGCGTTTTTATCTGAAGACAATCTTCCATAGTCACGTGGCCAGCGCGACTAGACACAGAACGCCATTACCTTCCCACCGGGGTGGTACCTATTTAACTACTCACATTTTTGCATGCTTTCAAACTGCCAGGTTGGCGGGAGCTGGGACAAGCGACTGGGGCTCACTCCGTCGCATGGATTCAATCTTATGACTGCAGGTCTTCCCTTGCAGCACAGAGGTTTCTGCGGTTTAATCTGCAGCGCCACCACGTCCCTCATTTTAAGGGGGGATGGTGAACGAACCACTCAGCCTGTGTTCTCTCCCTCCACCCTCCTCACAAATTTCAAGTTCTTCTCAATTTCATGACAAGGGAACTGCTCTCACCTGCTGTGGTTATATGGTGCAGAAGCTTTGCTATAGGCATCTGGCGGAGGAGCCATTGCTGCACTTGGTGGGGGAAAGAAGGCTGGGTTGAGGTGCAGCGCAGGTGGCACTGTCCCAGGAGGTGGCACAGTGAGATGGGGAGGAAGTCGAGGGGGAGGGGGCATTAGATGTTGGTAGTGGATGCCAGGTGGTGGTGGTGGAACCCCAAAACTGGATGAAAGTGGTGGAGGGGGTGGTATCGGTGGAGGTGGTAGCCCCATGAGTGGAAGCGCAGAAGGAGGGCGGTTGAAGAAAGGCAAAACAGAAGGAGGCTTCTCAATGCGTGGTGGCTGCACAGCGTTCTCTGTTGGAGTAGCCCGGCCATCTACTGAGTCTGAGGAATCTCTTGAGTGAGCCCTTGGAGGCACCCCTGCAAGACATGCAGAAGAGGAAAAGCTCTGAATGCTGTGGTATCTGGACAGGTAAAGGAGCCGAACAATTTTCTGACATAACATTCTGCTTTCCAATAGGTGGGCATGTCAGCTACTGTGTCCTTGAAGTAAAGCTCCATCCTGGCAAAATAACAGACATCTGATCTCTCTAAGTATGCAAAAAGAATGAGATCTACTACGGTGTAGGGGCATGTCTTTCGAAATGATGACATTATCATATAGTCTAGTTTCTGACACTCCTGGAAATGGGCATTCCATGTCTCTGGCTAGAGTAAAGTACATCTCACTCAAATATATTCCTTCCACTGGAAAAAGCAGCTGTAATAAACTGATCATTCAGTGTCAACTAAATGTTATACATAAAATAAATTTATATACTGGCATGCTACTCAGACATTTACATTTCAGCATCAGTTACAACAGATGGTAGTATACTCTGAACAGATGACAACTACCTTATATTTCAGTTTATAAGACAACCCAGTGTATAAGATGACACTCCCCCCTTTTCTAACCCCAAATTAGAAAAAGCAGGGATTAAAGGGCTCCTTTTGCTAAGCCCCGTGCCTTGGCAAAAGGCAAGGAAAGCAGCTGTAAAAGTGACTGCCGCTTTTCCTTGCCTTTAGAGAAGGCAGGGAGCTTAGCAAAAAGGAAGGGAGAAATGCCTCCCCTTCCTTTTTGCTAAGCCCTGTGCCTTCGCAAAAGGCAGCAGGTAAAGAGCTGCCTTCTATGTATAAAATGAGCCTCAGTTTTTTTTCAAATTATTTAAGGAAAAAGTGTCATTTTATACACGGAAAAATGTGGTAACATGTAGCATTCACAAAAAAAATCTTGAGTGTATCTTATACTTTTTCCATTCAAGTGAAATATATTTTTATCTGGATGTTTGGATAATACTTAGCATTGACCTATGTTCTAGAGTAGTGATCCCTATCTTAAGACTCTCTAGAAATACTTCAGCATCAGTTCCTAGAAAACCTTGAGCTAGCACAGAGAATGGTGAGGCATTCAGGTAGTTGTAATCCCACATCTGGGGAACCACAAGTGGTGAACGACTGTTTTAAGGCTTTTTATACTAGTTCAGCAAATCTTCACGGTTCAGCAGGTGAAACACATTTCAAGATTTCACACAGGAACCAGAAAAGAGCAGCTTGGCTAAGGCCACCTAGTTACTAAGTTCATAGCTGAAGCAAAATGTGAACTGAGAAATTCTTTATTTTACGCCTTATTCTGAGCATGCAAGGCTAGATATAATAAATATAGATAATAAAGATAAATATGAATACTTCATTTTATGTGAAGAAACTTTGCAGGAAAAATCAACTTCAATCTTTGAAACTTCCAGTTCCAAATATTTGCTTTTACAAATGCCAGCATCAAATTACTTGGAAGGTTCAGTGAGTCTTAAGTAGCAGGTAGAACTCAAAAGATCAGATATAGATTATTATTGCACGCAATCACATCATCTCCAACTTAATCCTATGAAAGAGTAATGTGCAAAATGTCCTATCTTCAATAGCCTGCTCAGTTCTTAGAAAGCCAAGGCTGTAGCTTCCTTTAGAGCAGTGGTCCCTAACCTTTTCTGAACTGGTTGAGGGGGTGGGGTCCATGGGCAGGGCGCGCTTGGGGGTGAGCAGAACGCATGCTTGTGGATGGGCGGGGTGCAGTCATGCATATGGATGGGGCACCTGTATATGCGTGCAGGGAGTGCATGTGGGGGCTGGGAGATCTGTCTTCACGGCCTGGTCCTGACAAGGCCATGGACTGGCACCGGGCCACGGACCAGGGGATGGGGACCCCTGCTTTAGAGCATTGGTCTTCAAACTACGGCCCGCAGGTCGCATCTGGCCCACGCTGCCTTCAGCCCATGCACACGCCCGACAGGCAGGGGTATGTAGGTGCAGATGTTTGGATGTTTGTATAGGTGTGACACACGTGCACTTATTCCTGTTCCTTCAGCCCTCAAAAAGGAAAATATTCAGTGTGACCCTCACTGTAAAAAGTTTGGAGACCCCTGCTTTAGAGACTTAATCCATTTAATAATTGGCCGCCTTCTTTATCTGCTAACTTCAACTTTTCCCAGCATTGTTATATTTTACACAGAATTTTACCTTCTAATTTTAACTTCTGTTTAGCCATTTTTGTTTCCCGAAGAAGTTCAGGCTTCATCTGTTCTAAGACGCACTTCTTTGTCTTTCTGGAAGTCTAGGGTATCTGCAAAGTTCTCTTCCAGCACTGCATTTCAAATGAGTCGATTTATTTCCTGCCAGCTTTCTTCACTTTATTTTCAAAAATTGCAGGTTTTTCATTACAGGATTCCTCTTCAAAGGAATCTGTCAACCTTCTATCTCTTCGGCACAGGTAATCAGTATATTGTTTCCACTTTCTCTTTATCTTCTCCTGGTCAGACAGCATGCTTCCTGTTGGTCATTCAGCATTCCTAATTTACCATTTGATTTCTTGGATCTTCTGGAAGAGATCTCGTTTACTCTTGTTTGTTTTCTTCTATTTCTTTGTGCTGGCCATTTTAATAGTCTTCTTTGTCTCTACCTGACAGTCACTGAAAAGCAGCATTCAGGATTCTCTAATTCTGTTATGTGTTCCTTTTCACCTGTCCTGCACAATATTAAGTGTTTCTTCTGTCATCTATCTAGGTTTTTCTTTTCTTTTCATTACAAGAATTGTCTTTTTGCATCCTTCCCTATTAATATTTCTGGTTTCAATCCAGTTCTTCTGATTTTTGCAACTGAATTTAGTAATGCAAATCTGTTCTTTATGAGCTTTAAATTTATCAGATATGTTGTTGAATTATATTTTGATCCAAGAATTCTTTTACTGGTCTTCTTCAGCTTTATTCTAATGCATAAGAGCTTTAAAGTTGGATGTTAACAATTTATGCTTCTGGTCTTGTTTTGACAAATACAGCTTCTCCATTTCCTGCTTCCAATTACACGGTCTGCTTCATTTATATATTATATGCTGATGTCCTCGTGTACAGTTGTCTCTTTACTTGTTTAAAGCATGTACTGTACTTGCAATGCACAGATTGCTGGCTTCACATAACTCAGTGAGTCATTCTCCTCCTTTATTTCTGACCCCTTGATCAAAATTTCCAACATTTAATTCTGCTTTGTTTCACATTTTCTTGTTCCAGTCACCTATGATTATAAGCATGTCTTGCACTGGTGTGTGATTCAATTTCCTTCTGGGTGCTCACATAAAAACTTTCAATTTCATTTTCTTCAGCAGCTGCAGTTGGAGCAGACTTGAATGATGGTTATGTTCATGGGTTTCCCAAAGTCTAATTAATACTACTCAGTTAGACCTTACATTTCAGCCCCTAACTGCCGGTGCTACATCTTGCCTCAGTATTAGAGCCACTCCACGTCTTCTACCATTCCCAGAGTAAAACACTCTGTAATTGTCTGACTGAAAATGTCACATTCCATTCTATTTCAGTTTACTGACACCAAGCACTGCAATGTTTAAGTGTTCCATTGCTTGCTTTACAGCTTCCAGTTTACCTGGACATATACTTCTCATATTCATGTTCCAATTGTATGCACTGTGCAGCACTGGACTTTCCTTTCACCTATACGCATGTCAGCAACTAACATGTCCTTTCAGTTTTAATCTAGTGTCATTATTAATGACAGCACTATACATATTTATCTTCTGTTCTTCCCCAGGTGCTGACTGAGTGCTTTCTGACCTGAGAATCTCGTATGTTAGCACTATCTCCTGGGTCATTTTGGACTGTCTCATGATAGGCTACAGAAGGTAGGAAAGGTGCAGTAGAGGTTTATCACTGCTCTTTTTTTCCATGCAATATAAACAACACCTGCCCTCCAGAAGCTTCTCTGTTCCCATAAGCATTGTCTTCTGCTGATGCAGCCATTACTCCTGAAGAGGGTGGATGCATCTCAGTCTTGTGCCTCAGCTGTGAACATTCCACCTTGGGTGATCCTGCTAAGAGTCCAGACCCATAATGGAATCTAGCCTCTTGGTGACATTGTTTTTGGCATCTTTGAAACACTGAACCACCTCACCACGTTAAGGAGTGCATCCAAGAAGAAGAAATACATATTACAGAATACCTATTACCTGAAAGAAACATACTAACTATTCATTAAAAAAAAAAAAATCAGGAAATTGGAAGAAAAAAATCAAAGCATGAAAAATGTGATACCTATATGTGCCAGAAAGATGAATCAAAGTATGCTGAGTATTAAGAGAGACTACTATATAATCCACACTTGGATATGAGGGCAATCAGAATGAACTATTCTCAAGGAAGTGCACTGAAGACAGCATATATGTAACAAGTCACAGCACAGTAGAGGCAAAACCACTAACTTCCTAGTTTCATAGTACTAAGCTTACAATTTTCTTGCTTTCCCAATACAATCATCTAAAAGACATACCTTCATTTCTGCCTTTTAGGAACGAAAGATTTTGATTATTTTTAGGTTGAAAAGTAAAAATGTGAACCATCTATTGTACATTACATTTACTGTCATTATAAAATGACTAAGGTGAGTCCCCAGCTCATACACTGTCATTAAGTATTGGACACTATCTTTTCAGGGATGAAACATTTCTGGAAAGGTTCTAAATAGGAACTAATATATATGATGGATTTCATCCACAAAAGCAGCCTTAAGAAGTCAGCCCAATTAGTTCTGACCACAACGGAAGAGCAAATGAAGGATGTTCACATTATGTAATGTGAGAGATTATATTATATGGTGAAGCTTTTATTAGATTAAGCAACTACAACATAGTACAAAAATGCATAGTTGCAATATTTACACATAACCAGTGGTAAATTAATTTGCTTTTGGTGGATATAACTGGAGTCTCAACAACCAAATCCCATCCTCTCTCTCTGCTTTGCCCCTACATAATCGAGATTTCCTTCCCATAAAACTTACGTTTTCGAGCTTGTGCTTCAAACTGTGCAAGATTTTGCCGGGTAGCCAACTTCACTTCCATCTTATCTCCATTAAGAATTTTTCCTGGCAGCAGCTCCAACAGTTTGTGAACAGAGTTTTCAGAGGCAACCACAACTTCTGCATACCTTTCCACAGAGCCATAGGAAAAGTTAATTAAACACTGGCAGGATCTCCTGGATAAACTGTTTTCCAAGACTCGTCTCAAAAAGCAACAGTGCTCCTAGAGAAGCAGCCTCAACAATATGACAGAAAAATCAATCCCCACATTCCAAACACAAAACTAACACTAAAGAGAGCGGTGCATCGAACATGGGCAGAGATTTCTCTCTGGAACTGGAAAGAATCCATATTATTCCCAGATCACTTGAACAAGCATCCATTTGCTGCATAGGTGGTGGCATCTAATCTGGATTGTCACCAAGATTTCTTTTACCTTTAAAAATTAGGAAGATATCCTAATTGGCACATTCTTCTCAAGTACAGTGGTGCCTCGACTTAATGAACGCCTCTACCTACAAAAATTTTGAGTTATGAAAAGCTCCAGCCGCAAAATTTTGCTTCGACTAACGGCTGGAGCTTCGACCTAAGAACCGAAAAAGGCAGGGGGAAAGGGCAGGAAATTCAAACCGTTGGTGGCAAAGAGGCTGCTTCTTTGTAGCTCTTTTGCCCCAAAGGTTAGAGCAAGGGGGGGTCAGGGAACTTTTTTCCTCCTGCAGGGCAGGAGGAAGGAGAGGCAGGCGCAGCTCTGGATCCCCGCCGGGCGCAGGAAGCCGGTGTGTTCCCTGCCCATCCTGGCATGGGTCTACTCATGAGTAAGGCCCACAGCACGCACGGGTATAGTCATGAGTAAAGGTGGCCAAAGGCGCTGGTCTGGGCTGAGGCGCAGGAGTGGGAGGGGCTCCTCTGTGGACGGGGCGTGCGGTGGCGCAGGAGGAGGCTCCCCGCTGAGAATGAGTACCATTGGAAGCTTCAGTCTGCCTATTAAGATGCTGCTTTTTCCTTTTTAGAAACTTCTGGGTGGGTTTTGCAGAGAGGGTTTCGGCTAAGGGGGGTTATGTTTCTGAACTGTGTTGTTTTTTGCAGTCCCAGGGTTGGGATTGCTCAATGTTTATTTTTGGGTGTGGTTTTTTTTTTTTTTGCAGCCTTTGGGTTTTGCTATTTATTTTTGGTTGTTTCTTTTTTTAAAGTCCCAGTGCCTTCCGATGTGGCTTTCTGTGTGCTTTAATTTTTTTTCTGGTATTTTTTTGAAATGCTGGAACGGATTAATCCTGTTCCCATGCATTTCAATGGGAAATGGTGCTTCGACTTATGAAAATTTCGAGTTACAGCCACCATTCCAATACTGATTAATTTGGTAAGTCGAGGCACCACTATATCCTTATTGTTATTTTGTGCCTCCTACAACAACTACTCTTCCTGAGGGCTCCTTCATGAAAAATCTTGTGCTTACCCTTTGGACTGGCCATTGGCTCTGTTTTCAGCAAACTTGAGCTCTACCACATCGTAAACACCCACAGAGCGGATGATTCGTGTCAGCTGCTGGTCAGTCGTCCACTGCATGCAAAGGGACAAAAAGCTACAATATCGTAAAAAGAAGGTTTAGCGCTGACTTTATACTATGGGTTCTTAAGGGCCTTGTTCCAGTAACAAAAGCTTTATAATGCATAACAAATGCTTTTCATTTAACGTTACACTTTCACTTGAAGAACATCACATTCTCCAAACACAAGCTGTCCTATTTTTCTAATTTCAAAGACAAAACACTCCTAAAAATCAGAGATGAGCAATTTTGTTCCATTTCATTTTAATCTAATTTTTACACTCTGTCTTTCTCCCATAGCTATGAAAAAAAGCAGTTTATAACAGATTTAAAAGATAACCACTTTTGCTGGGATTGATTGCAGTTGCAATTAAAAAAAAACCCAAAAGGCTACAAGTTGCTCACTGTACACAAGAATAAAAACACTATAATAAAAACAACACATTTCTGCTGTTTTAATATTCAAACTTCTCAGTGCCGTCTCATGATGGTCAATGATAGCAAAGCTATATCCAGCATGCATTACATACAACATTACATTACTGGGAACTCTAGATCCACAGAAAGCATCAACAAAACAAAGCAAAAACAAAATCTTCCACATTATTCACAGAGGTTCAGTAAAAGATAAATCAGTTATATCCTTTACATCTTGCTCTGATATCGAAGCACATTTACCCAGGAGAAGCTGCCCACATAAACAGCAGCTCTTTTATTGCGCAGTCCGCTGTAGGTATACAGGATAGCAGGTGATTTGCTGTTTGGCTTGGGAGACTGTTCTTGGCGGTTTTCAGGTGGTGGCTCAGTGGTGGCAGTGCAACTTTCTGATGGTTGTGAGCTGGCAGCTAACACGTCGTCATATAAATCCATCTGGTCAGCATTACTAAACTCAGAATCCTAGGAGACACAAAGACAGCACTTACAATATGCACAGCAAAGGGCAACGGTTCCACCTTTGTTCTTCTTCTTCTTCTTCTTCTTCTACTACTACTACTACTACTACATACTAAACAATACACATATGTCCAATCATCAGTCTCAAAGCAAAGGAAGCTTCTAAAAAATCCCACAATGATTATTTTTTCCTATTCAAAAGGCACAACAAATGCTATAGGAAGACTCCCAATTTCACAGACTCAAACATCTCAGCATTATATTTTTGGCATTCAGAGTGTGCTTGTTTGATCACTACCAACAAACAAAAGTTTGCCTTTTCCTCCCCATTGTACTTCCCACAAGAAAAGTCACCCTGTGTAGCCTTGGGTGACCTGCACAGTCCAACAACATCCAAAAGAAGGAATGGTAAATAATCTCTGAGTCTTCATACCTAGAAAACTCTGAAAGGGGTTGAAGCAAGTTGGAATTATTATTACAATCTCACAAAAACAGCACCAAGAGATAGCATAACTGGTAACCTCTATGACAACAGGACAGGACACAGAACACTGCAGACACACCTGAGGTTTTATTTATTTAAAAATTTTTCACCCCACCTTTCTCCTTAAAGAGGACCCAGAAAGCTTACATGATAAAGATGAAAACATTTAAAGCTAAAAACAGTAAGTGCACAAATACTAAAAAGGATCAAACAAATACCAGCCTAAGAAAAGGTAAACGAATGCAACACCAAAAACACATTCAAAGCAGTAAGGAACAACAATTAATTTAAAACACCCACTCAGGTAGCCAGCCACTGAAAGAAACCTTGCCTGAAGGTTCCACTCCCGCTTCTCCTACAGATTTCTGGAAGTTCAAAAGGCAGCTCTACCTAAGTCTTGAGCTTTGAGACAAGGATGGAGTAGGTTACAAGCTGAATCCAGAATGGTGACATAAGCAGATTCACTGAAGACAGTTTCCAGATTCCTACTGCCAGATTTACTTTGGCATAAGTATAAAGACATAAATCACAGGAACAAACTGCTACTGATTGCATTCTATGTCACACTACTAAGAACTCAAGTGGCAACATATTATTCAACAGCAATTTGCCACCCTAGGTTACACCAGTACACTTACACTGGCATGAATCTACAACAGGATTCTGCAAAGTGATCTACTCAATACTAGTTTGCCCCACTGACTTTAACGGGCTCTTCTCTAGGTATCATTAAACTTGGATCCAAGCAACTGTAGAACTGGGAAAGGTCTACTTTGGAATCTTTTGATATGGGTGTATCAAAATTTATGCTGAAGTCCACTGGAAAGCTACCTGTTTACCTTCAGAGGATCAAGTGACACACACTACTTTTCTTATTCTCATAATATTCAAAGAACTTTTCTATCGTTACTCTTACAAAGGGTAATACTCATCCTGATCTGACCTGAAAACTTGTAAAAAAGCTGTTGCAACTTTTGTTGATTCACATAATGGAACACTCTCTGAAGAAAAATAAATCAAACCAATAAATGACTGAATAAGACAGACAAGTAGACTGTAATCCACAAAAGCTCATGTCAAAATAAATCAGTTAGCCTTCACTGTACCATAAGGCTCTTTGCTGTATAAACACAATCTAAATAAAGTATCAAACCACTAAACATGTTATGATCATGTGGTCTGCATTCCCTCTCAATGACACCTATTATGCCACACAACATAAAACAAGATTTCTAATTAGAGAACAAGGAATCAGAAACTGAGTAGCAATATACTGTACAAAACTATCATATTTTCATACATCATCCCGTCTAACTTATATTTAACAGCAGGAAGCACGTAGTTTGAGCTATTTAGCTTAAAGCTTACAGAGAGCTGCAGGCAAATTGTTGAAATGTGTGCTATACAGCTTCCATTCTAAAAGATTTTTCAATTTCCCAAAATGGACACAGTTCAGTTGCAATATAGTCAAACAATTAAGTTACAGCATGTGTTGTAGGTGTGCACTGAACCATATATCTATGGTTGAAACCCTGTTGTGCAGCTCTGTGTGTGTAACTATGGTGATATCAGCAGCAGCAGCAATTTGGCAATTCTGAGGTGCACATGACCGTGTTCCTTTGTGAACACTGTAGTGTAAACCACTGGTTCTTAACCTTGGTTTACTCAGGAGTTTTGGACTGCAACTCCCAGAAGCCTTCACCACCAACTGTGCTGACTGGGGTTTCTGGGAGTTGCAGTTCAAAAACATCCGAGTAACAAAGGTTAAGAACCACTAGTCTAAATCACTGGTTCTTAACCTTGGTTTACTCAGGAGTTTTGGACTGCAACTCCCAGAAGCCTTTACCACCAACTGTGCTGACTGGGGTTTCTGGGAGTTGCAGTTCAAAAACATCTGAGTAACAAAGGTTAAGAACCACTGGTCTAAATCACTGGTTCTTAACCTTGGGTTACTCAGGAGTTTTGGACTGCAACTCCCAGAAGCCTTCACCACCAACTGTGCTGACTGGGGTTTCTGGGAGTTGCAGTTCAAAAGCATCTGAGTAACAAAGGTTAAGAACCACTGGTGTAAACCAGCAACTGATTATAAACAGTGGTGATTTGCCACTGATAAAGATGTCATCACCACTGCACACACGGAGCTGCACAACAGGGTTTCAGCCAGTGTGTCTGGAAGGACACAGCTTGAGCTTTCTGCAGCATAAGTTAACCACAAATAACCTATTACACTGGTTTCAGAGGAATTCTGGAATGACTAAGAGACTGAATCCCACACACCAAGGATATACATCACAATCATTTAAGTATTTCCCCATAAACAGTAAAATGCAAATATTATTTCATTTTGGGTAAATGAAATGTTATCTGAATGTCAGCACCTTTTAATTATAACTACAATTCTTCTTATGGAGAAAGCCAGAGAGTTCCAGAAAAATATCTACTTCTGCTTCATTGACTATGCAAAAGCCTTT